GCTTTAGCTTCTTAGTGATGTGCTTTAACCTGCTGCACCACCAGGGAGGACCCAGACTCAACATTTTAAGCAAGCCTTAGGAATGAAGCAACTCTGTTTCCCATTCCTTAAGTCAATTCAGGAAACATGAATTAGTCAAGGAAAAATTCCTGTTGCCTCACACTGCAGCTTTTAGTCTCTATCCATTCTTTGGTATAAATTCTTAATATAAAAATATCTGCTAATAGCTGCTATGTAATGATGGCGTTCAAATGATCTGCTTCTCACAGAAATCTAAAATGAAGCTAGAAAGAGAGCTTGATAATGACCAAAATAATCTTTCACCTTTTAGATCTTATGAAATTATTTTTCAAATTCTTCCAGCTTGATACACAGTTTTAAAATGCCTTATGTTCTCTCCCCTTCTTCTTCCTTTTCCCCTCTTCTCATATGCTTGTATTGGTTTTAATAAATGTTTAGGTTTTTTCCTTTAATAAAAGAAAAAAAGGAAGTGCATGGGACTATGGTGATGGCACTTGGGTGACTCGATGATGGAAAACCCACGGGGATTACTATTGAGATGAAAAAATATATATACAAAATGATGTAAAAATAAACTATTATATTATTTTAAAAAAGAAAAAAAAACAACCCTCATGTTTATTTATATCTTTACATTGTTTTATAAATGAAAATTAGGATAGTAAGATAAAATAACTGCAAAGCACATGAAAATGTTCTTATAGTCAACTGTCTAGCTTCTGGGTTTGAGAACACTGCTAGCAGAACTGATAGCAGAGAAGCCAAACAAACAGACTGTTTGAAGAAGTCATTAACTGTGTTGAATGCTAGTAAAGGCCTATAATGTGAGGAATAAAGGGGCCCACAGAATTTATAGACATGGAATGAGAGGGATGTGAGGAAATGAAGACAATTCTTACAAGATGTTTGGCTCTGTAAAGAACGTGCAAACAAGAGACATAAGGAGATGACGTGGGCAAAGAGGGATCTGTTTGCTCTCTGATTTTGTTCTGGGATAGGAAAGAGTTGGCCAGAAAAAAGGTTAGGCTCAAGATGTAAGAGACAGAGACCACTTTAACTCCTTTCATCCGTCTAGTTACTGCACTGATAAACTAGTTTCCAATTATAAACAAAAGCAGCAATCTGTCAAAAAAAATCACAAAAATTTATCTTCTATAGTTAAGATGGGACAAAATATTAGTTGACCGAAAAGCAGAAATACTGAATAGCACTATATATTCTGACTGTAAGGAAAAGGTGAGGCTCCTCATCAAAGGTAAAGATTAAAATTGAGGCAACAGGCATGAGCGCCACCTGCTGGTAAAATACAAATTTTCAGTGTTTTGACACAGAAAAGTCTTGACCAGGAGCTTTTTTATGGACTACAGGTAACCTGGTTCCAATGACAGATTTTTGATATTCATAAAGAAACTTAGATTTTCCTTCCCAGCATAGACAATATTTTTAAAACACACATGATAAATTGGTGACCCTCCCTCTATTTCAATATTTAGAAGTGGGAAGTTCGTAAGTCCAGAGTTATTTCATCATCAGTAGGTCATTTTAATTTTCACCCACTTACACTAGTCTTCCCTTTGCAGCAATACAGTGAATCCCCACATAACAGCCCTACATCATCTGAAGGCATCCATGTCCCCTTGTACTTTCTCTTCAAACAACCCATTTTTTTTTAATCTGTTGTTTTTAAAACCTCCACTACCCTATCGATAGTCCATAAAAATACCTCAAGTTTTACTTCCAACAGTAGCCTGCAATATTATTACTTTCTTTTATCTATTGCTTAACACACTATTGGCTTATAACTGAAAGAATGCTTCCCTAAATTGACCTAATTCAGTGTTCATATAATTTATTCTAATCTAATGCAAGTTTTGATGTTTATTTCATGGTTAAGTTTCATCTCATAACAATTTTGATTGTCCCTCTAATCTACTAAGTTATTTTGAATCTGGATTCATTAAATCTTTACTCAAATCAATGATAAAAATTGAATGTCATAGATCCTTAAGATGTAACTAATCTGAGTAAGAACACTGAATAAGAATGGTCATCTAGCTGCAAATTCACTTACTATGTACCTACTTCAGCCATGAGGATAATGGAAAATTTAGACAAATGCGTCTATGAAATCAAGATGTCATGTAATAGGCATTCCACGAATACACAGTCCTTGTATTCCTTTCAAAGAGGAAGTTAATGAGTATAACATAATTTTTAATTGAACTCATGGAAAATGTTCATAAACCACACTGGGATAATCAGCAGATAGTTTCCTACATCCATTCTTCTTTTTAAAAAAATACACTTCAAAGTCAACCTACTTAATTATTTTGTGATCATTTTATGACTAAATATTTAAGATTAAACACTTAAAACAGATTTGTGGTCAACTACAAATGTATTTCATTTACTCTAATGAGTTGAAGATCACTTTTTTCAGAAGAAAATTGTTCTGAGTGAAATAAATTTGTGTCTTCTTTGCTTAGGCATCCATGCTTAATCGAATATGCCTTAGTTGAAAATTGATCCAAAATTACTTACATATTATTAACAATGGCTTAGACTGTTCAAACAGTATTCTGGGTTAAAATTCTATTGGATCTTGAAATGTGAATAGTCATAATATAACTGTATTTCATACTATTAGTAAACAGTAGATGGATATGAAACCAGATGAACATTCTTACTCAAATGTTCTTTAGTGATTTAATATATTTAATATGCTTATATAAGCAAACTAAATGCTTTGTGGTACAGGATGGCAGGCCAGATGTGAACGGTTAATCCCAAATACCTAAATTCCAATCTCAGCTTTATCATTCACTATGTGACCTGGAACAAGTTAGTTAATCTCTCTGCACCTCAGTATCATTTATAAATGTGAATAATGCCTTCCAAAATCATGGCCATCACATGGATATATAAAAAGATATAAGTTGTGCCTGTTCTTTAGTACTTCAAATTCCCTAGATTTCTTCTAAATATTTCCATTAACACACACAAGAAAAATTATTTGACTATCCTTGTAAATTTAAGATAGCAAAGACCATGTACATTTTACTCACTGTTGCCCAGTGCCTAGACCATAGTAGCTCAGGAATTGCTTACTTTGGTTCCTGGGCCATTTTTTTGCCCACAGTCTATTTCTGAATGGCTGACACCTAAAAATGGTTTTTATATTTTTTAAGAGTTGCTTTAGGCCCTCCCTGGTGGCGCAGCGGGTTAAAGCACAGCACTGAGAAGCTAAAGCCACTTCCGCATGAGTTCGATCCCCGCCTGCCCCGGAGGTGACCACATGGCGCAGCAGACCTCTCTTGACCCGCCCGCTGCTCCCCTCAGCAGTGTACTGCCTGTTCTGCTCCCCACTCTGTCTCTGGTGAAGCCTTTCGCCACCCCTGAGCTTCTGGCCTGTACCCCAGTTCTGTATGCACAAATAAATAAATCCTTTAAAAAAAAAAAGAGTTGCTTTAAATACAATTGGGGGAAAAAAAGTCTCAAAGAAGTTACAAGCCCAGCAGAGTCTAAATATTTATCATTTGGCTCTTTTCAGAAGATATTTGCTGACCCCTGAATTAGGCCCTCAAATACTTCTAAAAGAGCAGGTAGGATTAGGGAGAGTGTTCTAGGAACAAGGAAGGAAAAACACCGGTTTGCAAAAAGTACTGGCACTCACTTCAAGTAGTAAATCTAGGATAATAAATATTACGCGGGTCTTCAAATTGCACATTGACTTCCATTTGCTGACATCCAAGAGAAACTAAAGCTCTTTCATTAATTGACATATTCTAGAAATGATCTACTTTTTTTGGTAATTGACCGATTCTTGAGTCACAAGTGCTCTAGAACTAAATTCCTTGGGAGCATCTCTCTCCAACTATTAGTTGACACAAATGTTAGTCCTCGGCCAGTTATCAGCCACTGCAAGGTGTCAGTTCATAGCTATGCCCTTACATCCTTCCCTTCCACACAGTACTGATAGAAGTGCCTCACATCTATCAGACCACATAGTATCTAAGTGCACTTCCCTGTTGTTTTAATAGTAAATTTAAGCACTAACATTACTCATGTGCTCCCATGTGACTGTACGCCTGTTATTTCAAAACTGAATGATTCAGAATGTTCCACAACCTCTGAAATGACTGAAAGACATTTAACCTTATCATTAAAGTCTCATCCTCAAGTAATATAAAAGAGGCCTCTTCATAGTAGATTTATTCATAGCAATGTCTATTAAGAAAAATCTGTAGTTATACCTGAAAATGTTGTTCCATCACTTGGATTTTTCCTTGGTCTGGACACTTTTTCAGAGCTCGATCCGCATAATGGAATAGGATTTCTACCATCTATAGAGAAAACATCTTGGTATAGAAATTAAAATATATCTCAAGTTTTTAAAATCTTAATCTACGTATCCATCCTGAGTAATGCAGGATGAGGTTATTTTATATTAAAAAATATAATTAAAGACTTTGATGGGTTTACTTCACTTTTCTTAAAACTACAGCTTAATTTCTTTGAGCCAATGAGAGTGCTAATTTGCTAATCTTTCCTAATAAGTATCTCTAGACTCTGAACCTCAATAGTATCTATCTTGCTCAGGAAATGAAAAATTAAGTTAAGCTCTTCAATAATTCTCTTCTGCAGGTCTTTCCTTAAAGGACACAGTCATTTCTTTCAGTAGATACTAAGAAAATCATTCATGAGTCTGAGGCGTGACTAATTTCTACTCACTTTTTCTAAATGCTTATACTAATCTAGAATATAATTTTTACCAATGCACTTGTACAATAAAATGGAGGTGGAATAACTAAGGCAAATGAATTCAACTAAGTCCAGGCTAGGAAAACAAAATTTATGGTAAATAGCAGCATTGATCATATTAATACCAATTAATAATAATATAAAATTTCATCCGCTCTCTCAGGCAATATAACATTACATGCATGATATTTCTCATAATTACTAATCAATTTACAAAAATTAATATATATATATATATACATATATGTATATATATATAAACTTTCTATGGATTATAATTAGATTTGGAAATAATCCAGATCTCTGGGTTCTTCTCTTACTTCTTTTCTACGTCTTTGGCTTTTTTACTACTTTACCATCATTATAAAAGAGTGAGCAAAGTGGGGAAAGGGTGATAAGGGATTTAAAAAAGCAAAAAATGACACCAGGAAATTATAATGTGACTTGATTTTTTGTACACCCTCTTTTTGACTGGAATCAGTGACCTAAATGTGATCAAAGGTATTAGGAAATACCAAAGGCAAATCTGTATTGTGCCCTACTGAAAAACCCATTAAAGTGCTCACCCGATCTGCAACGACTGCCTTTCGCTTACTGGCATCCCCTGACAGCCCTGCAGAGAAACAAAATCAAAGTTAGTCCATATCTTTAGGAATGAAATTCTTTTGATCTCCTATTACAACCTGTGTTAACAATAGAGTATATTTATAACAATCTTTAGTTCTCAAAACATTAGCTAATATACTACAAGAGAAGTACCTCACATCTATCAGACCACATAGTATCTCAGTGCACTTCCCTGTTGTTTTAATAGTAAATTTTCAGTATGAAATGAAAGAATTTGAAAGGCAAGATTTAAAATTCTTTATCCTGTACTTGTTACTAACCTGAACAAGACTGTATAATGTCTTATTTGCAAAATACTTGACCATTAAACTAAAAGTGTTTGTGGGTGATTAGTACTACTCATTCCCTCTACTCCAGAAAAACAATGTCCACTATACCATATCAGTACTCTGTTAACTTACCTACTACTGCTTTTGCTTTTCCTTCATGGAAAGACCATGCAAGAGCCAAGGCTTCTGTAAAACAATCTTGTTTCAGGAGATGATCCACTCTCTAAAATGAATACATGAGAGGGGCAGACGCTATTGTCTAATCAGTCACCACTCAGAATTCCTAGTTTACTTAGTATCTTCCTAGAAGTTGATGCTTAGTACTTTAAATTATTCCAGTAACCATGAAAAGTCATTTCTTAAAGCACTGGATAGTAAGTGCCATGACTGCAGAGGTCATGTAGGCAGTCACATGCTCTAAGTAGGAAAACAGGAAACAGCTACAATATCACTGCAGCAGAAACAGCTAATTGCTTGTCACCACATCCAATCACTCTCTCTTCCTTAGCAACAATTCCAAATTTGAGAGAGCAACACACCATCTAAAGGACATTTCCAAGAATGCTCTATAGCCACTTGAGGCCGCATGACTGAGTTTGGGCCAATGGTTAAGTGTTGCTTGGTATTTCTGGGATATAACCTTAAAAAGCAGTCCTTCTGGAATGTGAACTTGAAAGCTTGCGCTCCAGTAATAACACTACAATATCCTTTGAGACTAGAATCTGTAGACAAGTATGGTAGAGTGAGATCATATACAGAAGACCACAGAACTGCCACACCAGACCAGAATGAATGTCTACTTCTTGATTGTTTTTACATGGGACAGAAATATTGCTTAAGTTAGCTTCCTCTGATATAAGTAGCCAAATCCAATCCTAACTTAGTTTAATCAAACCAGTTGTTTGATGTTAAAAATCACATCAAAATACTCTTTCTACAAAGTCAATATACAAATTGTTCAAACTATCAACTCAAAAGCTCTAAAATAAAGAACTACTTTGAACTCACCTCTCTCCAGCTCCTCAGCATCATCACATAAACAGACTAGAAAATGAAGAGAAGGAAATGAAATGGCCATCTTTAATAATCCTATTTGGGAAACACATTTGCCCCAGTCCTACATGTCATTTTCCATCTCTTTCAGTAAAAACATTTCATAATGGCCCAGACCAAACATTTTAAGGTCGTTGAGTCTACAGTCTAAGGAGGAGTTAATCCCATGGACAGGAAACAAGAAATGTCTAATCTTTAAAATTTTAATAATAAATATTTCTCCACACTGTTTTCTTTAAAAAGCACTAGAATAAACTGACAAGTAAAACAGTTTCTGTTTCAGTGAGTTTGTTATAAGCCAAATGCCTCAATGCATTTTAATATGTCCTAAGCTGATCTAAGTTAAAGGTCATCTTAATTATAAGGCACAACACATGATAAGGTGTATCTGTGAAATAAAAAGGTTGTGAAAGTATACCCCTGCATCAAGAAAATAAGCATCATATCAGAATCTAAATGAATGTAAATAAGTCTAAAAGTGAAAAGATAAATTTTGTTAAAAACCATGACTAACCCCTAAGAGTTTTACATTAATGCTCATCAATATACTCTTTACCAGAAACCTTCTTTGGCCCCAGATATTTTTGACATGAACAAATGCCACACCAGAGTAGAAGAGCTTACCTTTGTCCCCAAATAAAAGATCTGACCACCATAGCTACTGATGGATTGATAACAAGCCTTCTCTCCAACCAAAGCCTGTAAAAAAAAAAAAATTACATTACAATTAGAAGTCTAAGATTTTTTGTTTTGTTTTTTACATATTCTTCACTTTGTGCATTTTTGTATCTCCATTGTAATCCCCGTGGGCTTCCCACCACCACTAAGTTTTAAAGAATGTTAACTAGAGAGACAACATTTTAGGTCAATATGGTTTCATCCCATAAGTGAGTGGGGAAAGAATTGAAAGTCAGTGGGTCAGTGGAAGAAAAGACAAGTGCAAAAAGGTTACTTTGTTTACATATGGCCCTTTAATCTTTCAAAATAATAGGGAAAATGGAAGAAAATGCCATTTTCTAAATCTAAAGGAAAACGGTCGCAACCTGCCTATTATTGGTAAACAGGTAGCTCCTGCTTCTGGCAAAGAATCAGTCTTACTGAAAATGGCTCTTCAAACGGTCAAAAAAGGATAAAACTTGCAAGCTGACCATAGATCTGAGACATATGGCAAGGGAGGGAGTGGGGGTTAAAACGGGAGCGAAGAGCACAAGGGACTACAGTGATGGTTCCAGATGCTGTGGTAGTGGAAGACCTGTGGGGCTACACCTGAGGGAAGAAACCAGTTACTGTACAAAAATGAAGAACTACGTAAGAAAGCGAATTTAAAAAAAAGAAAATGGTTCTTTGAAATAAATAACATAAAACACAAGAGGAAACAGGAAGGCAATGCAACACCATATATGGGAGTCAGCACAGTCCAGCAAAATTGGAACAAAATGCTATATCTGGGCTGTAAATTTTGGCTCTGTTCCTACTGGGTATGATCTTAATATGTTTCAAACTTCTGACATTAAGTTTTCCCATCTTTGAAAAATCATGCACAGTTTCTATGAAATTTAAATGTTTAAATTTGTAAATCTCACAAAATATGTAAATAGTCAATAACTAATAACTATAATAATTTTAAATTTTCACTACAGAATTTTAACGACATATTCAAAGATAAAAAGGATGAGTCCCATGTATCCATTAACCAGTCCCATCACCAATCTCATTTCATCCATATTTGTACTGACTCCCCTATAATGCAGATTAATTTTGAAGTGAATCTCAGATTTGAATATAATTTGAGTATTACTAAAAAGCCAGTATCTACATACAAAATGAGTCCTTTTTAAAATAACCACCACCTGCACCTCCATGATGGCCTAGGGATTAAGTCTCAGCACTAGCACTGCTAAGGCCTGGATTTGATCCCTGGCAAAGGAGTCTACTTCACATATGGTGCATCAGACCTCTCTTGTCTTTCTCACCACTCCCCTTAGCACTATATTTCAACAAATCTACCTCTCGCACTCTCCAATCTGTCTCTGGTGAATCCTCTCACCTGCCACACCCCAACTCCTCTACAAAAATTTTTTAAAAATTGGATGTTATTTCCAAAATAAATAAAATAACCATCATTTGATTAACATAGTTTTGTAAGGTAACACATATTTTTCTCAATATCAAATATCCAATCAATGTTTGAATTTGAAATGTACCCTCAGGTCAAATATTGTTGAATTTAGTTTTTAGTTTAGCGTTTGTTTCTTCTACATTTCACTTATCTGAACTAAGATCCAAAGAAAGGTCACATATTGGAACTAGCTGAGTTATTTCCAAAGCCTCTTTGAAACTAGAGGTTTGCTTCTCTGTTTCTTAGTCCTTTGTTTTCTTGAATTTAATTTGCTGAAGAAACTGGAACACTTATTCCATAGAGTTTCCCACCATCTGGATTTTGCTTACTGCATTCCCATGGAATCGTTCAACACATTCCTATCTTCCCTATTTTCTCTAGAGGAGTCTTGAATAGAATTGGGTGATTTTGCCTGTTTGTTTTTTAAAGTATAATGTTAGCTGTAGGATTTTTCTAGATACCTGGGATTCAGAGTTGATGAAGTTCCCTACCACTTCTAGTTTCCTAGGAGCTATCAGGAATAGACACTGAATTTTGTCAAATGTTTTTTCTACATCTTTTGAGATAGTATCACTTTTTTTTTATAACCAACTAATATGGTAAAAAATAGTTTCTAATAGTCATCTTTTTTTTAAGGTTTTTAATTTTTTTTATTTATGCATACAGAAGTGGGGTACAGGTCAGAGATGTGAGGGCAGAAAGAGGATTCACCAGAGACAGAGTGGGGAGCAGAACAGGCAGATCTACAAAGTACACTGCTGAGGGAAGCAGTGGGCAAAACAGGAGAGGTCTGCCACGCCATGTGGGTCACCTCCATGGCAGGGACTGAACTGGCACTGAAGCAGCCACGGTTTGGCTTAGCTTCGCAGTGCAGCGCAGCAACCCACTGTGCTACTAGGGAGGGCCTAATATGATAAATTATGTTGATTTCTGAATGGCAAGCCAGCTTTGGATGCCATGGATAGACACCATTTGATCATGATTTATTACTCTTTTTATATACTGCTGACTTCAACTTGCTAGTATTTTAAGGATTTTTGCTTCTATGGTGATGAGAATATGGGTATGCAGTGTTCTTTATTTTAATCTGTCTGGTTTCATTTTCAGAGTCAAGCTGGTCTCATAAAAAGTTATATGCTCCTTTTTTCTCTATTTTTTAAAATGATCACCTGAGC